TTACATTTGATTGTGTATTATCACTAAGATTAAAATTCGAGATGAAATTAGATGATTCAGAAAGTGGCAATATATATTTCTTATATCTATCTGTATCTATCTGATACACTTATTTTATAATGATACTATTAATAATTTTTCCTATAGATGCATAAAAAAAATATGATGAAAATTTCAAATGTAACAGTTTCGACCATAAAAGCCTGTATTTTGTATATCGTTACCATAGCAACTACACAGATTTACGGAATTTTTTCCTCGTCCTCGGGGAAAGGAGCATGAAATTACACTGGAGGTTTTTTGAAGTTTATAAGTAAGATGACAGTCGAAAATCATTAAAAAAAAAGATGTACTACTTGTGGAATAATTATTTATGTTCAACTAAATACAGAATCTGAGAGATATATAGAATGAAAATGATTATTTTCAAGTATTATTAGAAAAATGAACAAATGAAATATTGGCAGATGAGGCATTTTCATTCATCTGAGACTTCTTTTAGGTGTTGACGTAGATTAAGGAACTGTAGACCATGTGCAAATTGCCAACTCCGCATCATGGTGGGCATATTGCTACACATGAAGTTAAATTAAGTTAGGTTATGTTTTTGTCTTCAGTGTTATGTTCAATCGATTGCTTTTCACAACAATCTATAAGCCAATACCCATGTATGGAAAACAAAATACCTATTGCAGTTCATCAACACTGTATTTTACAACTCTATAATACAAAACTTAACGTCGAAATATTATACAGGCGTCTCAAAAAAATGATTTTTAGCGACACCAATCTGATAACGCTTTCAACTTGCTGTCTGAACGACTAAAATCTGACATAAGGATAACAGTGTATGATGTGTACTGCATTACTGCAATCGTTCATAAAACAACCAAACTATACGGCCCGTGCGCATATTGCAAACATGCGCATACTATATTTTTCTATAACTAAAATCGGTATTTTGTATTTTATTTAGCGTAATCTACTAGTATTTTTTCAATAATATTTCGATGTGGAATTTTTTTATCGAATACAACTCTAGCACCAATAAAAAACCGAATATTTTTAAGAACTCGTGGTATTATATATAATTGAAATTATAATGTACTTCCCTTTATACTTCAGATGTGCGCATCAATCGCATCGATCATCAGCATACAATAACATTTTATAAACTTTGACCGAAGTAAACATTCCAAAAAAATTACAAACATCATTTGAAGAATGTTCGGATTTTTCCGATTTTCAAAATCTCAATTAGTTCACCTGGTTCAGCATGGTGTAGGTTACTCTCCCTATCCATGCACGAATTCAAATTCTGTTGACTGTGGCTAGATCCGGTTCTGTGTCTTCGTTTTTGGAATCCGACAGTTCAAAGTAAACTCTTTATTAGTATTTAAATGACGTTTACACGTTTCTAGTATATTACTTCGCCCCGACTTATTATTCACATATTTAATGAGATTTGATGCGAAAATTCAGCGTTAATGCTTATTAAGAATCATTTATTCACTCGGTATGTCTACTTACATGCGTTCTGCAAAGTATAAAATGTAAACGGGATTTCATCAATTTCATTGCCACATGCACCGTTTGATTAGTTTCTCGTTATTAATATTGAAACGGAATTGAAGAGAAGATCTGACAGAAAACATTAAGCTTAGATAATATCTAAATACATTGTTGATGTATACATACTCTTAATTAGGACAAATGGATAACGTTTCAAAGGTATTTGCTTACCTGACTAATTTTGTGCCATAAGTAACCAAGAAGTTGTGAAGAGCACTTCATCGCACCAATATAACCATCAGGCATGCTCTAATGGTGTTCTGCTAAACTTCTGAAAAATGTTGATTGTATTATAATTTTTCTTGGAGATATGCATACATTTTTAAAGATATTATACTTACTAGATAATTGAAAATTACTGTATACACGAGTGTATACAGGGACATAATAATATGGCACGAATTCATTCAGATTGATACCTACGCAACATCTCGAAATACAGTTGAAGTAAGAAAGTTCAGGTCCATTCTGCATTTCACCGGCAGTGCTACTCCCACTCCACTGATGATTTTTTAATTCAATTACCCATATTGAGGTATATCAGTCCTACTTTTTGACACATTGGACCTAGAAAATGATAACGTCATTAACATTGTCGTTGTTTGACTTTCGTTATAGTACCTATTAGTATTAGAATTTTGAGGCGAATAAAATAAGCTACAGAAATTTACAGGGTGCCATTTGAAAATAAAGAGTTGGGTTTACTTCCGATCAAACAGGTGAAAAAAATGTCATTGTGTTCAAGGGAAGCGCCATCATCGATTATATAACCCTTGTGAATTTCACGGCGCGCTAATGGTACTGCACATGCACCCCTATCTTGTAGTAGTTTTTTTTTCCATTTCAAAAATCGAAAAAGTCATGAGCTGGCATAATACTGAGAAAACCATCCTGCTAGGAACACCAATTGGCAATCTAGCTATACGTTGAGATACGATTAAGTGCGGACTGGCATGTCTGTATATTTAAATTCAGAAATACTCTGAGAAAAAGATATAAATACATTCAAAAAATCGGAGCTCATGTCCTTTCCCAATAGACAGGAGACTATGTGCATAAAATAATGACGGAGAGCGGGTTTAGTGTATATGTGTCTGATGATGGCCATATGCCATAGTGCAGAAACTAGTAGCATATTGAATTGTTTGTGATTGTGACTACTTGTGACCGATTTACTGTGAGCCTCTCCGATTTTTCTTTTTGAATTCGCCTAATATACCCCAGGCATTCTAATCCAATTTGACCCAAGAAATGGAAAAAATTAGATACAAAGATTTCTCAACGGGAAAGTATTCCTTAGGGGCTATGTTATCACATACCCAAAATCCCCACAAATCCCTTTCTGGAAATTGCGAAAAACACAGCCGCCATTTTGAAATTTGTTTTTTACTTACAAAAAGTCGCTCGGAAACGGAACCTTTTATCGAAAAATACTAAGAGCATCAGAAGTAACTCCAGAATACAGAAATACTACTAATTTCGATATTCAATCAACCGTACAATATACAGGGCGCTCATAAGTGCTTATCGAACATTAAATTCGGTGTTTTTTACAAAAACTGTCAATAACTCGAGAACAGCAACTTTTATTGAAGAATACCGTGGGTTTCATTGATTTGAGGACAGAGAAATATTACTATTTTTGATATTCAATCAACCGCATAATATACAGGGCGTTCACATGTGCTTGTGAAACATCATTATGGCATTATTCTCTCAACATATTCTACTAATGATGATTCATTTCATTGATAAATTCATGAATTTGAATTTCATGTGGAAACAATTGATAAAAATCCATAGGCGTTCATTAAAAGAAGGATTGAAGGAAATCACGTTGCATCTTGAGGTGCATCTGGAAATATTGAAAATATAAATGAATACAGATATCTGCTGTACAAGAAAATGGTAGCCAAGCAAAACCTTGAAGATAATTTCGATCTAACGAGCCTGCCTCCAACTAAACATTCAGCAGAACTTCATTTCAAGAGAGTTTTTTTGCCAGGTACAGAGATAGTTTGGGAATTATTGATCACCAACTGAATAGGGCTGGAAGTATGAGGATCAGTTTTTGGTACCTATATGTATGGAAAATCAGCCAGCTCCAGACTACATATTGATAATTGTAGCCTGCAAATGCAAGAAACAATGTACAAACATAATATGTTTATGTCGAACGGCTAACATATTTTGTACAAATATATGTGGACACTGCATGCATGGGACTAAATTCTGCTAATAGCTCGGTATCTAGCACTATCGAGGATGCTAGTGCTGATGATATCTTTTGGTTGAGAAAAATAAAAACGTTCATAAATTGCATCGATTTTCATTCATCACCAATTATTGATCGTTTGTGGGCTTTAAAACTCCTCTTCTTCTTTTGCTTCTTCTGGTTTCTTCCTTGAACTTCATTCTTCTTCTTTTTCCGTTCTCATCTTCTTCTTTTTTTCTTTCCATACTTTCTTTCTTCTCAATAACTATTTCGTTTATTTCCTGGTGTTACCACTGTTCTATTGTGTCATTTTTGTTCTGTCATTCAATTCTTATTGTCTTGTGTTCAAGTGTCAAAGTCTTGTTCATCTTTCAATTCGTCTGAAATTTTTCCATTTCCATGTTCCATCGCTCATTGATGATTGATATGGCTTCCTTAATTTCATTATGTAGTTTGTAATAAAAAACCTTCAAGATAAGATATTTAATCTTATCAGAGCCAGTTTTTTCTGGCTCTTTTCCAAATTTGAAAAGAACCACATGTGCCTGACTCTGATAGCCCGTTGACGACTTGAGTTGCCCTCATGTTTGCTATCCATAATGCTACTCAATAGCTTCATGCTTTGGTATGTTTTTAATAAGTTTGTCACTTTCCTCTATTTGTATTGTCACATTATTCTTTTTACAGGTACTTTTTTGTCTGATAATGGCCGTTGCGCCGAAACCAGTTACATGTAATTTTTAAAAAATTTTATAAAGTGTGGTCGACCGACTTTGAGATTTTCATTGTTTTTCTTTTGAAATTACTTTGGACCACTTTGAGATATGGATGATTTTCATGATTTAAAACTCCTGATTAACGATGGATGATTTTCATGATTTAAAACTCCTGATTAACGGTTCTCAACATCATTTACGAGCACCCTGAATATGATGAAGTTGAAATGATATGCTAGTCGTGAGTACTTTTTTGTTCCTAAAACATCTATATTCTTGGCATTTTTTGATAAAAGGTGCTGATTTGGAGTTATTGGCGATTTCGCAAGTTCCGCTGAACGGATTTGTGGGGATTTTGAGTATGTCATAACATAGCCCTTAAAGAATACAATCCCGTTGAAAAACCTCTGTATCTAATTTTTTCCCGTTTTGAATGCCTGGGGTAATAAGGCGCTGAGACTGAGACAATTCCAGAGCGGACAATCTTTGACATTATTATGCAAACTGGGCGAAGCCCGAAACAGAGAAGGTCCGAGGTCCGAAGGGGTCAAAGAAACAACAATAGGAGGAAAATGTTCGATTTGGCAAATAAAAAAAAACGGACGCATGCGTGCAATGCGGTGGCCCCAGAAAACTGTGACTACCTGTGGTTGCCCGCTGGGCTGTCGTCCGACGTCCGCCTCACCTGGCCGGTGAGTTTGAGTTCCAGTTCCAGTTCGGTTTAGACCTCGTCCAAAGCACAACACGTCCAGAAGGTCAAATCTCTTATATTTCGACCATGCCACTCGTTCATTAACATGTTGTGGCGTAAACGTAGGTACGATCGCGATTGTTGACAGAAGTGAGTGACATTGTGTGTGGTTTTTCGTTATGTAAACAAGTGCCCTTTTTTAATTTGAGGATACACACAGATTCTCTCTGGCCGAGCCCACTTGAGACTTCAGCAGAGGTAAAGCTCCAAGCTCCCTCCGACTTTTTTCAAATATTTATTCAACAAACAGGTTGACAACGCGATTCGGTAGAATGACTTCAGTTTCGGCTGCTACTGACCATTTGGTCAAAGACGAAAAACTTCATCGGAAACACGATAATGAACTGTCCACGACCTCCCATCATTTTTATACCTATTATAGCCTTGTTGGGGAATTCATGAATCACTTTAGCCTCATCTATCATTTGATATTGGGTATACCTGCACGCACTGATTTCTCATGAGACAACCCAAAACATAGAAGATTTTTAATTTCATTGAATTGCTCTATCTGGATCCCCTTCTGATCAGATATTTATTCAACAAACAGGTTGACAACACGATTCGGTAGAATAACTTCAGTTTCGGCTGCTTTATACTGACCGTTTTGTCAAAGATAAAAACATCTATCGGAAACACGAGAATGAACTGTCCAGAACCTCCCATCATTTTTTATTCCTATAATAGCCTTGTTGGGGAATTCATGAATCACTATAGCTCCATCTATTATTTGATTTTAGGTACCTTCACGCACTGATTTCTCCTAAGACAACCCAAAACTGATATGAGATTTTTAATGTCATTGAATTGTTCTATCTGGATCCCCTTTTGATCAGATATTTATTCAACAAACAGGTTGTCAACACGATTCGGTGGAATAACTTCAGTTTCGGCTGCTACTAACAATTTTGTCAAAGACGAAAAACTCCATCGGAAACACAAGAACGAACTGTCCAGGACCTCCCATCATTTTTTATACTTATAATAGCCTTGTTGGGGAATTCATGAATCACTATAGCCTCATCTATCATTTGATGTTGGGTACCTGCACGCACTGATTTCTCATAAGACAACCCAAAACTGATATAAGATTTCTAATTTCATTGAATTGCTCTATCTGGATCCCCTTTTGGTCAGATATTTATTCAACAAACAGGTTGTCAACACGATTCGGTGGAATAACTTCAGTTTCGGCTGCTACTAACAATTTTGTCAAAGACGAAAAACTCCATCGGAAACACAAGAACGAACTGTCCAGGACCTCCCATCATTTTTTATACTTATAATAGCCTTGTTGGGGAATTCATGAATCACTATAGCCTCATCTATCATTTGATGTTGGGTACCTGCACGCACTGATTTCTCATAAGACAACCCAAAACTGATATAAGATTTTTAATTTCATTGAATTGCTCTATCTGGATCCCCTTTTGATCAGATATTTATTCAACAAACAGGTTGACAACGCGATTCGGTAGAATAACTTCAGTTTCGGCTGCTACTGACCATTTTGTCAAAGACGAAAAACTTCATCGGAAACACAAGAATGAACTGTCCAGGACCTCCCATCATTTTTTATACTTATAATAGCCTTGTTGGGGAATTCATGAATCACTATAGCCTCATCTATCATTTGATGTTATGTACCTGCACGCACTGATTTCTCATAAGACAACCCAAAACTGATATAAGATTTTTAATTTCATTGAATTGCTCTATCTGGATCCCCTTTTGATCAGATATTCATTCAACAAACAGGTTGTCAACACGATTCGGTGGAATAACTTCAGTTTCGGCTGCTACTAACAATTTTGTCAAAGACGAAAAACTCCATCGGAAACACAAGAATGAACTGTCCAGGACCTCCCATCATTTTTTATACTTATAATAGCCTTGTTGGGGAATTCATGAATCACTTTAGCCTCATCTATCATTTGATGTTAGGTACCTGCACGCACTTATTTCTCATAAGACAACCCAAAACTGATACAAGATTTTTAATTTCATTGAATTGCTCTATCTGGATCCCCTCTTGATCAGATATTTATTCAACTAACAGGTTGACAACGCGATTCGGTAGAATAACTTCAGTTTCGGCTGCTACTAACAATTTTGTCAAAGACGAAAAACTCCATCGGAAACACAAGAACGAACTGTCCAGGACCTCCCATCATTTTTTATACTTATAATAGCCTTGTTGGGGAATTCATGAATCACTATAGCCTCATCTATCATTTGATGTTGGGTACCTGCACGCACTGATTTCTCATAAGACAACCCAAAACTGATATAAGATATTTAATTTCATTGAATTGCTCTATCTGGATTCCCTTTTGATCAGATATTTATTCAACAAACAGGTTGTCAACACGATTCGATGGAATAACTTCAGTTTCGGCTGCTACTAACAATTTTGTCAAAGACGAAAAACTCCATCGGAAACACAAGAATGAACTGTCCAGGACCTCCCATCATTTTTAATACTTATAATAGCCTTGTTGGGGAATTCATGAATCACTATAGCCTCATCTATCATTTGATGTTGGGTACCTGCACGCACTGATTTCTCATAAGACAACCCAAAACTGATATAAGGTTTTCAATTTCATTGAATTGCTCTATCTGGATCCCCTTTTGATCAGATATTCATTCAACAAACAGGTTGACAACACGATTTGGTAGAATAACTTCGTGTCGGCACCGAACATAAACAGTGACTATTTTTATGTTCGGTGGTTTCGGCTACTACTGACTATTTTGTCAAAGACGAAGAACTCTATCGGAAACACGAGAATGAACTGTCCAGAACCAGAACCTCCCATCATTTTTTATTCCTATAATAGCCTTGTTGGGAAATTCATGGATCACTTTATTATAGCCTCATCTATATAATTATAGCGAGGATGTTAGATAGGTACCTGTACGCATGGATTTTCCACAAAACAACTCAAAACTGATATGAGCTAATATTCTGAATTGAATTGAATGGAATGGCTGTACCTGGAACCTATCAATGCACCAATAAAAAAAATGCATGCACATATTCTGATCTCATCAAAAAGCTAGGTCAAGGCTTAGTAAGTATGGCTCATTTTTTGAAGGGCACAACAGGTAGGTATTATTTCCCAAATAAAAGTTCCAGCGTCAATAATTTCGATGGTATATATCTGATCGCTTTAATCATAGTCTTCTGAAACAATCCAAATCTAACATATTCGACATCCAATTTTCAAGTCACTCATAGTCAAGAATAAACTTATTCAAGAACACAATAAGCTTCAATCTCATCCTAGGAATCCGAGGTTACTTTAAACCAATGTTATAAACGGGCGAGGCAACTAGTGATCAGTGATGATCACCTCTGCAGAACTAGCCAATTCCATCAATCATCACGATGGTACTTGATCAAAATAAAGCATTTCCATATATTGTTTTATAAAATTTGATTGTACTAATTCTCGGTCCTTCCAAAAACTCGTTTGCCTATAATATATAGTCTATAGGACGGCAAAGCTTTCAAATTCTTTGAAGTATTCCCAGGAACTTATAAACTCCGAAGGTTGAAAAAATGCCATATCCAAAACATGAGAATATACATATTACCAAAAGTGACACATGGCACTTGACCCATCATATTCAACATCCAGCAACCAACAAGTATTTTGATAATCACTGAATATATTATATACAGTGCTTTTCTTTAATGTCCCCCCTTCATTTTTTGAACGGGTCAACGAAAAACATTGAAACTTGGGAAAAAGACATTGATGCATGAATACTATATTTCGGAGTAAAACTGACAGATGAAAATTTCAAGATGGCGACTGGGCGCCATCTGGGGATACACCATTCATGTTTTTGAAGAGACACTCTGTGACATGAAAAAAAACCTCCTTCTCCCCCCTTCAACGTGACAACTACCTCCCCAATATTTTTTTCATGAAATAGGGGGTTGAGTGATGATAGCTCATTTTGAAGTGTATTCAATGGTCTATACAGCTATATCAATTTATTTGAATTTCATTCATGCGTCAAATGAGGTATCACTCACCCCCAATTTAATTTAAGAGAAATGGAAGGGTGGTTGTCACGTTGAGGGGGATGGAGAAAGAGGGATTTTTTTATGTCACATAGTGTCTTTTCAAAAACATAAATCGACGAGTTTCAGGGTTTTAGAAAATGAACTTATCCGTTTCATATATGGCGACTATTATTATTTACATTCCCCAAGACTCAATCAGCTATAGGTCATCCGAAACAACTATACTACCTACATATATATACCAGCTATTTTGATAGCAACTAGTTTAAACTTATAATAAGTTTGTTCATGGGTAAAAGAGGCTAGCTCTTTACAAAATAATCAATATAGGTATACTTACGTATCTATTATAGAATCCAACCCATCAAGAATCGACATTAAAATCCGAGTGGATTATTTCGATATAGCAACCAGCATGGTTTTTCACAATCAAAATTTGACAAACCTCAATGGAAAGAAATCTTCACAAACAAACTCATACACAATCATCTCGAATTTTTCAAATGTTAAGGAATCTCAGGTCGCATCTCAGTGTTTCGAGATACAACATCCTGCTTGACTTTTCCTGTTAACACTTTACAACACCTGATCTAGATACGTTTTGTTGAGCTTTCTTGATAGCTCGGTTAGAGATGAATTCCCGAAGAATTTGTTATAAAAAGTTTGCAAGCCTGGATACGATCTAAATTTTGATAAGAAGTTATTCAAAGTATCATTCCAAAATGAAATATATATATTATAACCTCTATTATGGCCTAGTCAGGTACCATCAGAAGAATATTTTTCTAAATATTTCCTTTAATTAGGCATTTTTGAATAGTTACATCATCAATACGCAGCTGAATGATGAAACAACATACTGACGTTCGGTAAAACCTCGGTAAAACATGAATTAAAAA